GTGCTTGACTTTTGTAACCGATGAAATAAAAGTAAAACTAAAATCCGTAAAGTTGTACTGAAAACTGCCCAATCTAACTTTCCTCTCATGCGCGTAAACCCACACTAATTACCAACATAACTCAAATCCAATAAAAACCTAAGCATTAGAAAGTGAAGAGAAGTCCCTTTGATTTTTCAATGTGGGATAAGATCTTTTGAAATGCTCATTTATTTACAACAAACTCTTGGTAACATTATTCCAATCGCATTGTGTTGGGAAAAAAAGGATATTCCTTTTGTTCGAAGTGTTACAGGCAAAACAACTGTTCGAAGTGTTACAGGCAACAATAGTTCAAAGTGTTATACGAGTTTTAAATGCTGAGTCAAGTCGGCTAACCAGAAAATCTTCTCAGATAATGACTCAAATAATGTGTTTACTATTTCTTGTTCCTTTAGAGATACAAAATATATAAAATAGCTACCTCAATTATTGGGCTTGCAATTGATATTTCGGAGAATGGTCTTATATATATGATGGGACATCGGTGATATATATTGGCGAACTAATATATGATCTGATTATGTAAGTTAGATCCGCTCTTTGCCATCGTGTCCGCAGTCTAATAGCAATCTTGGTCACATATTGGCAGGTAATACCTGTCCTTGATTTAATATTAGAGTCATTTGAAAAGAAAATTAAAAATCTCAAAACATTTTTCTAATTAATTTTTCGATTTCTCAACCAACTTTTTATTGCACATAAATCAAAATTACAAAAAATATTACAGTAAATTTTTTTTAAAAAAATTCCCTAAATAATTTTCAATCCAAACGCACTCATTGATTTGCTGGTGCCCATTGAACTTCCACTGGAGAGCAAAAGCTATAAAGCACACAGAAAAGAGTAACTTTATTATAAAGTTAAACAGACTTGGTTCTTCTCCCTTCCAACTGATAAATATTTTCATCCATAATGAATTGCTCATGGCACATTCATGTATGTCAGACCTACTTATACGTGCGAAGTCATTAGTAATTAATTTACGGTTTAGGAAATTGGAAGAAATGAACCCTGGAGCTGTCGTTTTGTAATTTGACTAAACCACCCATGTGTGTGTACCAAATTTAGTCCCAATATCATGCAATATCTTTGTTGTCACAGCTAACTAGAAGCTTTTCTTAACCATATAACGTTAAAACTTTATCCTTATGCGACTATACAAGGTTTGAAGTAATGAAACCAACTCAATCTAAATGTGAAGAGTATCCAATCGCATGCAAGCCCTATTGACATAGTGCCAAAACCAAAAGCTATTCATATGGTTCAGTCGTTGTACAGCAGATTTATGCAGCTTGCGGAAACAATTTTTTACTGGACAGCTCGTGCATCCACAAGATTGGGATCAGATCCTGTAAGGGATTAATTACTATTTGCGACACTAGCAGACACCGGACTCCTTTGTCGAAATGCAACTGTTTAAGGTAGAATAATCATCCTCTCCGCGGGTTCAGACGCAGCACATTCTTCCCGAATAACTTCGATCATAGTCAAAATTCCTGCTACCGACATGGTAAGATGTTTGATGATGAATTTCTGTTAAGTTGCACTTTGGAAGTAGAGAGGTCTCAAATACAAGTAGATTGACGGATTCAACTTCACTCCACCTTTTTATGTATTCCCCTCAATTATACGCTGGCAGAATCTTAAGAAGATGAGTATTTATTATTATTATGATTTGACGTGATTTAGACCCACTAATTAAAGTTGTTTCGAGTGCAATACATTTTTGAAAGTTGCTCCAACAGAGATTTTTAGCTGAAATAGGACGTTTAGGAGTTGATGGCAAAATAAGTAGCTCAATAATATAATATTTGTATCATTTTTTTTTTTTTGTCAACACAGGGATGTCCGGGTCAATCCTTACGGGACCGACTAATCCCCTGCGGCCCGGGAGAGGAGGCCCCACTCCACACCGAGCACGTTAACAGCGGGACTCGAACCCTGGACAAGTCAGGAAGGTCGCCATATCCTAAGGAGGGGGAGCGGACCGCTCGAGCTATCCCGTGGGGGCAGAAGATCAGCCACGTAAAGTGGCAAGTTTGTGGGAGGCAGGGGTTGAACCCCTGACCTCCAGCATCAACTCTATAGGAAATCCTCAATTCAAAACACGATATTAAGAATGGGAAACGGAGCTCACAACTTGAGTTCTGTCTAGTGTAAACCTATGTTTTCAGAACCGGACCGAGTATCGACTCGGTCAAGCTCAAGAATCAGGGGTCAATGGGTTCAACCGGATTTGATAGGAGTTGAACCGGATGATGTCATAAATAAAAATTATTTAAAAATTAAAATATTATATGTAAAATACCTAATAACATGTAAATATTAATAAATGTATATTCATATATATTTGATGTTTTAAATATATTTAACAAGAAAATACAAAGAAATTAGAACAATCAAGTAACAATTTATATTATTTAATGATCATTAACAAGTTTAGAATTAAAATTATGGATTTAATTGAAAAATAATACCAAACTTTAAGAAAATATTGATAAAGTATGAAATATTTGAGATATATTAATAATTTTTAACAATCTAGGGGTCAAAACATAATATTGAAAAAGTTTGAGTTTTTTTTTAAATGCTGTTTGAATCGGAAAAATCCGGTTTTTTCGGTCAAACCTGGTTTTTGACCGGATTTGATCGGGTTTTTACTTACCCGGTTTTTAAGCATGACTCGGACCAGACACTTGACCGATTCCCAGTTCGACCGGTCGAACCGGCCGGTCCGGTCCGAGTTTTAAAACACAGGTGTAAACCAGTTGATATAATTCTTCTAACTTGTAGTGCAAATCCATACAATTCGAATGTAAATTTAAATTTATTAACTAATAAATTGGTAACATTCACGATTACACCAAAGCTATATAAATGGATATCAAACGTACACGAATCGATTTGAATTGCACAGAACCCAACTTATGAGAACTCAACAAGGTAAGTCACACAATCTTCATACAAAGTGGTACAAATTCATCAAAATTGGTCTTATCAAAGTATGTGCTAATGTTTTTAAATAGTTTTAGTAATCCATGATTAACCATGTACATCTATGATGTGGTTGGGCTAGGCATGGACTAATGGCAGGACTGAACCTCCACACCACCAGGTTATAATGTCCGGAAATGCAGAAAGGTATTTCTTTCGGCCTGTTCACATTTATCTGAGACCTGATAGTTCAAGTACCGGAAGAACTAGTTGATGATGAGCACCCGCTGCAGTTTTAGCCATTCAATCACTACAAGTATATTGACTTTTACTACAAAGAGGGCAAGCGGTCAAAATGTGGTATTAAAGCCTACTGTGGACTGTGGGGTCTAATCAATTCTTCTTCTCATGCTTAAGGTCCTGTTTGATAATCCAATTCAGCACTTAAAGTTAATGAAATCAAATCTTAACATATTCAGACCTTTTGATAACAAAAAATTGAATATTTGAATTAATTAAGTAGCACTGAATTTCTAAGTAAAACTTACTCCCAAAATTAAGTGATAAGTTATTCACTTATCACTGAATATGATAAACACTCAAATGTATTAGATTTAATATTTAACAATTCAATAACTTAATAGATTCAGATTTCAGACTTCAGTTTTATCAAACGCACTCTAAGTTGATTGAACTTAAATGGAGAGGACTATCTAAAAGGCTAAAAAAGCAAATGTGACATGTAAATTGAAGCTAGCAATTAAGTTTATGTGTGATATCTAAAGTGAAATAATTAGTCCCAGAAATGCATCCCAGCCGTCATATTGGGGTTTCTATGTTTTTCTTCTTGTAGAAATGAAATTTGAACTAAGTTATCTAGTCTCCACCTTTCAAATTCTTTTATTTTTGTTTTTTTTTTAGCAAGAGAGGAATGAGATTTAAAAAGTGAAAAGCGGAAGGAGGATGACCGGATTAGAACTCAAGATTTTTTAAATCATGAAATTCAACTTTAGCAATTAGACCAAATCCTCATAAGCCTCCACTTTTGAACTTCAATGTACGCATATATTTGCCATTTGTAAGCTGAACAATTTTCCAGTTTTTCACATAATTTGGGGTTGGAGCCAATGGTGATTTTAGTATCAAAATCGACTCGCCCTTGCGAGCGATAAGTCCTGAGACAAGCAATTTATATCCAAAAGTAAACTTCCGCATAAGATCCAAGGTGTAAAATTCTAGTGAACGAGTGCAGACTCTGTAATATCCATTTATCATCTCGAATCATTGCATTATTAAGACAATTTTGAAGCCTAGGTTTAAGGGTTTTTTTTTTTTTTTTATAGCAAAGCCCCCTCAACGGGTGGGGATAACATTTTTGTGTGATAACACAAGTTTTGAAAACATTTTGTGTGCTATTAAATAGGAAAATACAACTCGTGCACGACTTTATTAGTATCACTGCTCGACTTGCCACTAAAAAAGGAAAGATATTTAGCATCAACCCAATACCATATACCTTAAACAAAGAAAAACAAAATCCACTAGCATACAAATGCTATATTGGAAAGATGAATATAACATCCCGTGCATGCCTAACTTGAAGAAAATAGTACTCTCTTCCTATCAATCAGTATAAAATCTAATTTATTTGCTTTTTTTTTTCTCCCAATTCTTCCCTTTTTAAGTTCCCACTTCTTCTTATTTTCATTAAATTGCTAGGTTCTTTATTTTTCAAATTGTTGTAATTCTCCGCATTCAATTGTTGTATTTGATTCCGCATTCACCCCATAAGAAGGTAGTAATAACTAAAGATATAAATAATAAAAAAAGAAGATATGAATAAGCCCAGGATCAGCGCCTGGGATCTGTTGGTTCTGATTCCGTAGCCACCAATCAGATAACTGAGTGAAGCATGAAAGGGAGGCTTAATGTCGGTAAGTACCCAGGCGTTTTACCAGACAAATGTAAATCATATTCCGTATCTATATATACCCATGGACATGAGCAACTCATAGCTCAGAATCCTTAACCATCCTCAGCGCCCCCCCCCCCCTTCCTCTTTCCAGATTTACTTCTTGAAAAATCACAATGGGTTCCGAATCCGATGCCCAATCTAAGCTACCTATCATAGAATTCAACGAGGAAAACTTGACTCCCGGTACAACTTCTTGGCTATCAACTTCTGACCTGGTTCGTCAAGCCCTTGAATCCTATGGGTGTTTCCTAGTAAAATACAAAAAACTTTCTCAGGAGTTGCATGACAAAATGTTCGAACTTTCAAAACAGTTATTTCAACTCCCAACTGAAATCAAAGTACAAAACACTTCTAATATTCTTGGCTTCGGCTATGGTACAAACTTTTCTTTCATGCCCCTGGTTGAGTACTTCGGTATCGAAAATGGGGCAACTCTTAAAGCGACCGAAGAATTCACCAACCTCATGTGGCCAGCCGGAAACTCAAGTTTTTGGTAGAATTTTCATTCAAATATTTTCTCTTTCTTTTATCTTTAAACTTCAGTAATCTTCTTCCTTTTTTTCTTTTTTTTACCAACTAAGTTTTCTAATTATCATATATTCTGGCTTTCTTTACAAGTGAAACTGCTTTTTCATACTCGAAGCTGCTATCGGAATTGGATCATGGTGTAATGAGAATGGTTTTTGGAAGTTATGGTGTGGAGAAGTACTTGGACCCTCTGATCAAATCTTCTTTCTACCTCATGAGGTTCTTAAAGTACCGAGCACCCAAGACTGATGAGATCAATATTGGTCTTCATCCTCATGTGGACAAAGGCTTCTTGGCCATCCTTGATACTAATCAAGTGACTGGACTAGAAATACAACTGAAACATGGTGAATGGATCACTTATGAGCCATCAACTTCACTGTCAACCTTCCTGGTCATAGCGGGAGAGCCTTTTCAGGTCACCCTCCTATTCCTTTCTGTCATAGACGCAGAAAACATAAATGAATGAATAGGTAAGGAGAAAAACATAATCTTGAACAAAGAAGGGATTGTAAAATCCGATCCAATTAGATCAACCATTTGTAATCTTGATACCACAATCTACAATCTTTTTATGCTTTTTTTTTTTTTTTTTTTACTGTTGTTTAAAGCTTTAGTGAAGTTTAATAAGATTGGCTTGTTAGGCATGGAGCAATGGAAGAGTGCATGCTCCACTACATAAAGTAGTCATAAGAGGAACTGAAGAGAAATACACCATTGGACTGTTCTCCTTCATGCGTGAGAAGGTGAAAATTCCGGAAGAATTAATTGACGAGAAGAACCCGCTACAGTTCAAGGACTTCAATCACTTGGACTTTCTTGAATTTCTACGAGGAGGGAAATATAAAATGGAACGTCCAATCGTGGCCTTCTGTGGTGTTTGATCTATCATCATGTACTACCTTAGTTTTTTCAATCAGGGACATAGCAGCCAAGAATTCCTGATAATCCTTTTCTACAAAGTACTACTCCTTAATTATGTTGTGATTTGTGATTTTGAAGCTCTTTGGTGGGAACTTGTCACATATGTTTATCGTTTTGTATGAAAGACTGTGCAGTATATGAAATGCAATATGTCAAGCTTGCTAGTGCTACTCATGAGTATTGTTCTGATAATTTTGTTTTTTTTTTAAAAAAAAAAAGGGGTTTACTTTACCCAACTAAATTTCTAGTCCCAATTCCACCCCTGTTCTCACTTATCATAAATTAACTCAGACCAAATAATATCACGGACCCAAAATCCAATATAAAATCAGTATTTTGCGAAACATTTTCAATCATTTGACTTTAATATTTTTAAAATGCTTGATTTCAGGTCGAGTGTCCATATCAACATTTTCATATTTAGGCTTCTTTTTTTTTTTTTTTTTTTTTGGGAGAACTTGACTTCACCAACAGAGGATTGAACCAAGAATGTTTTGGAAGAATTGAATCCTCCCTAGTTAGATTGAAAATAGCACTAGAGATTAATTACATCTTCGACCTTGGAGTGATCAAGGTACTGGAATATAACTTTGCAGCTATTGGAATACATGCCAAAACTTGAAATTCATGTTCAACTTTGCAACGCATGCAAGTAGTACAATACAATTATCAGCCTGAAAAGAGTACAAAAAAGAAGAAGAGGTTTTGGATAATAAATTAATTAAGCGAAGTGCTAGGGGTATAGCTAAAATAATTCGTGGATCAAATGGTACGTAGTAGTCCTTCCACTAATTAGTACAATATTCATTTTAATGTGGATGGTTTCATGAGATACGCTGCACAATGTTGAGCAAATTCCTAATTATTTTTCGGTACCAAAAATAATCTGTATATATCATCATGCATTCACGTGAGTTGTTGGGGAGTCAATTTGATAGCGTAACATTGATTTGATTGGATTGTAGAAATGAAAATACTATTAAGTCTTTTGTCATTTTTCTCGCTTAAAATATTAATTCACCACAAGATTTTCTTTTAATTGCCTTCTCTATATATGTGTCTATGTGTGTGTGTATATGTATGTATGCATATTAGTGATGGCTCTCAATCTTATAACCTCGAACTTAAGTTACTTTGAACATTATACTTGCTCATCAAAACTATAAAAGAATTGTTTCATCGTTCCAAATTCAGAATTTCAATAAATTTAATCAGTCACCACATAATAACTTTCTAATTTCGTAATATTTTGTATAATATCACCAAAAGACAAACACTTTCTCTCCAAACTCCTCCATATGGTTTTAACGGCTATAGATATTCTGTTACAGTTTAGTTTTATATATATATATATACTACTAATAGCAATAGCTTTTGTAATTGTAAGCACACACCATAACTCTAAAAAGGACATCAATCGGCTACAATTGCACCAATTCCGATATGCTTAGGCTTTATATATACTTTGGTTGTCTAGTTTTGTTGTTTCAATACCACCATCTAGCAAGAGCTCCTGTATTTAATATACTCGAGAGGGCCAAAAAAATAAAATAAATGATGGGTTCTGATCAAACACTAGAGAAGGCTCTTCCGATAATACATTTTAACTCCGAAAACTTGACTCCCGGCTCAAGTTCCTGGCTATCAACATCTGAAATCGTCCAAAAAGCCCTGGAATCATATGGATGTTTTGTAGCAGTCTACAAAAATATTTCCCCAGAGCTCCACGAAAAGATGCTAAATCTCTCAAAGGAGTTGTTCGACGTGCCCGTCGAAATCAAGGTGCAGAACACTTCCGATTATCTTGGCTTCGGCTATGGTGGAAACTACTCCGTTATGCCCCTGATTGAATACTTGGGCATAACAAACGCTGCAACTCTCGAAGCAACTAAGGATTTCACCAATCTCATCTGGCCAGATGGGAATGATAGCTTCTGGTAACCAATTCTTCTACTTCTTTGTACGTTGCTCTAAACTGGTCAAAGTGTTTCAAGAATATACAGACTTATCCAGAGATTAATTTTTTCTACACTGATAGTATAGTATATGCATTATTAGCTCGTCTACCCTTTTAAATGAACATATATATATATACCTAATTTATCTTTTGCTATTTTAATTAGTGAAACAGCATTTTCATACGCGAAGCAGCTACTGGAACTGAAAAACTTGATGATGCAAATGGTATTGGAAAATTATGGGGTAGAGAAGTACTACGAGCTCCTGGTGCGGTCTGCCTTCCACCTTATGAGATTCATAAAATATCGAACGCCAAAGACGAATGAAATTAATACTGGCCTTCGACCTCATGTGGACAAAACTTTCTTGAGCGTTTTGGCCGGGAACCATGTTAAGGGACTGCAGATTGAGACCAAAGATGGAGAGTGGATCGATTTTGCGCCCACGCCTTCAGCCTTCTTGGTCGTAGCAGGCGAGGGATTTACGGTGGGGCCTGCTCCTTTTTTTTTTATATTCAATTAACAAAAATATATTTGTTTCAATTACTGGCATGCATATTGTAGAGAATAAGAGCAGCATTGAAAATGAAATGGGCAGAGGATGCAAAACTGACTAGATATAAGATTAGTTCTGATTTTTCCTTTGGTTTTGGTGGTAGGCCTGGAGCAATGGCAAAGTATATGCTCCCCTCCATCGAGTTATCATAGATGGAACGGAAGAAAAATACAGCATCGGACTATTCTCTTTTATGCATGGGACGCTGCAAATCCCAGAGGAGCTTGTCGATGATGACCAAAACCCATTGCAATTCAAGCCATTTAACAACGTAGCGTTTCTTGACTACTGCAGTGGAGATAATATTACTGCACGTGCCATCAAGGATTTCTGTGGAACTTGATCTTGATGCCTTCGTTTCTCATGTTAAGGCTGGCTTCTATATTCCATTTACCTATTATTTGTGTCTCTCAATAACTTGTGTGAATGTGTGTGGAACAAAAGCTTAGTTTTAAAACGCCATGTAATATATCATTTTCTATATTTTTGGGTTTTCATCTATTTCCGATGATGATAATTTTCCTAACGAAATAAAGCAATTATATGCATTATCAGTGAGACTATATGTCAATGAGTAATTCATTTATCAATCACAGCAGGAAAAGGATTTAGTATAATAAGCTATAGAACAATTATCATAGACTATTTATTATGAGTTCACAAATGCATGCTAACAACAGGCGTTTCATTGCTTACAGCTGCAATTGGACCTTCAACCCCGTTTACATAGAGCATGCTAAGAAGATCAACGATAATAGCATCAAAATCACTGAGCCAAGACTTGTCGAGCAATTCGCCGCGTTGCTTGAAGCTAGCACAGCCAAAAAAGAAAAAGAATTGAATACTACCAGTGAGAGAATCACTCCACTACTTTGAATTAAAATGAAAGGAATGGCAAATGAATATATTTTGGAAGCACTCGTGGTGTTGGAGGTTCTATTAAAAAGCTGCGAAATTTTTTTTTTTTTTTGGGATGATTTTCATGATTACTTGACCATATAAATGTATGTTCACAAAAGTTGATTCCGTGATCAATTAACTAAAGCAAAATTACCTCAAAGGCATCAAGGTTTCTGGATTGGTTGCTGAATTTTCCAGATACCTGCTTGCATTCTCTGTTTTTTGTTTATTATTCCGACGATAACTCTCATGTAAAGATCCCAAAAAAATGAATTCACTGGAAGATCTGGTTCATCATAATTTTATGAAAGTAATCTTCTTAAACTAGTCTGAATGGTAAACATGCATGGGACCACAAGTTAACGTGGAGGGAGGTGCAACGATTACTGGGCTAATCAACTTTACCATTTTCTGGTGGTGATGGGGAGAAGCCGGTAGGCGGGCCGAACAGATTACCTGGGGGCGGCGGTGGTGGTGGGCTCGAAGGAGAGCCAAAAGTCACTCCTTTGCAATCAGCTCCAAGGTAGCCTGTAAATTTCGCGAGAAAGAAATGCCAATTAGCCTCTTAAAACGTTTGTTAGTTGTTACTAGTGCCTAGTCAATCGTTGATCACAAGGTGCAGTTTTGGTACCAACTGGGAAACAAAAATGGAACTTTTTAATTTATGCGTCAAAGATGGTTATCCTGTTCAATGGTTGATGCGTCAAAGATGATGAACAGAGTTGGAAACTCACACTCCTTCAAACAAGCAACGCCTGTCAAGTTGAACAAGTTGGCCGATCCATTGTTACATTTACAGTAGTATCCCAGCCCATTCGGATTCGGAACGCAGGTTCCATCGCCGCACCAAACCAGATTACAAGCTGTGTATTAAAGCCGCATTAAGGAACCGAAATAGACAGGAAAAACAAGACAGGACGAGTTCAGGTGGCCTACGGTTGAAGAGATTGAATGGGGGAGGAGGAGCATTAGCTGATGATGGCGGAGGAGCAGCTGGTGGTGGCGGCGCCCCGTTGCCACATTGCGAATTGATGGTGCCTGCATATTCACTCGCTCCCAGTGATTGGTGAAATTTTCCCATTTTCCTTCTTTCAATCGAAAAACATTAAACTATGCTAACTAGACATAATCAAAGGGCGCAAATAAATTAAAAGCAGTATATATATATATATAGCACTGTTTGTATCAAATCCTATTGCAAGTTACTGCGCAATAGCCTAAAGTACTAACAACAACCAGATGCTATGCGACAGAATATAAACTTCAAGAAATTAAACTGCACTTGGTCCAGTAATCTGGGTCTAAAATCATGCACACACACAAGTTCTGTCAAATCAATTATAGCATGGGCAAGATTTCAACATGTTTATTTACTATAATTGGAGTCTGCATTTAAAGATATTCGATACCAATTCCAAGTGTAATTGGTGAGAGAGACTCACAGTTGGGAACGGTACAAGCAGGGAACACAATAGGACCTAGCTGCATCTTGCTCCATCCGGCTTTACACACGCAGTCAAATCCCAGCAATGAAGGCACACATGCTCCTTGTCCGCAAGAGGCCTTAGCACAAGGATCATCTGCAACGTCAAATTAATCACCATTCAACAACTTCAGTAGTTTCATATGACGTACGGCATATGATCTTATTAACCGATAACAAAAAATTAATTAACTCGCATTATTCAATGGATCACGAAAGCATTAAAGGGATAATTATGTGCACAAATGATTAACAGTGACCTTAAATTGACTGTTAGTAATTACCTCTTAATGTCACCCTCGACAACTCGTTTGTAGCAGTACTAGTACCACCACCGGCTGCAATATTGTGGATAAACAAGAAAAGCAGAATATGGGAAAGAATTAGAGTGCAATGCAGGTTGTGGCTTCCCATGATTTGGAATCTTAGGCGGATGAAATTAAGGACCGACCTTTTACTTTTCGCGGGGGATGTCAAAATAGATGAAATGCTGCCGGCAGTGTAAGTTGAGGATTACAAGCACAGAAGAAGACATGGAGGCTTGAGTAGAAGCTTTGGTAAGCTCACCCAGTTACCACCAAGAAAACTGTTCCAACTCACCCATATATATATTATTCCACGTCCATTGTTTTGTATATTAGAAAGTACGCTTTTCTGATCAGAATTACCTTAAAACAAAATTTGTCAAGAGTGACATTCGTTTCTTTCTTTTGTTCAGTATATCTTTTACCTCAATATGACAACGAATCTAAAATTGACAGTATAGCAGATTGGCATTTCGGATCTCAACATTTCACCAGTTTGAAAGGGGGAAAATTTTCATCCAAGAACACTTAAGGCTCGAGCATAGACATGTACATTTATACGTGCACCTATCTAATTAAATGGGTTTGCATGAGATAATTCCTGACGATGATAGGGTTGCTCTCAATTTAAATGGAGGAATTAAATGGGGAACGCAACTTTCACTGAAAATTGCTATAGCGTTTACACAGAGTTCATGCAATTTTCCTATGTATCAATTGCTCAAACCCAGATCCTGAGGAGAAGCTGTCAAAAGTGTATCCAAAGAGATCATGACAAAATTCTCAATCTTTAAGGAGGTTAACCAGGCGCATTATGCTACATGTCACAAAAGACATAAAAAGTGAACTCGATAAAAATCAGAGCCAATTAGGAGCGCATGAGATTGCACCCTATATCTTCTTTCGGCAAAATGTTAGAAGTTGATTATGAGAGCGGGCGGGCCAAGCGATGCACAGAACGCAGACGAAATCATTAGCATCTGTGACGATTTCTACAAAGTGGCGAACATGCTTAATAACGTAAACATCACCGAGCTTGTAAGTTGTTAGCCGTCTTCAAATGCGTCATGTGAGGCAATCAATACGCCCGTACTCCAAGAAAGTTGGACATTTCTGCAGTGCCATACAAAAGGAACAGACAACCAATTGATAATTCGAACTACCTGAGGTGAGGATTTTAAAAGGCAGCGTTTGGTGGCAAGCCCACAATCACGCACTCAAAGAACAGTAAGGACGCCCAACATTCACACTACCAAACTTGAAGTTCTTCAATCCCATAATGTGAAATATGATACCAAGTCGCACTTTCTCCCGCTGAAATTACTTCTTGGACCATGATGCAGAAACATTGATAGGCTCCTACCTACGCAGCAAAACTGCCAAAGAGCTGCCCCTCCAAACCACAACCCCTTTCCCCAACCCATCCCCCGCCCCCAAAACCAAAAAAATATATATATATACATATATATATACACACACACAAACGTTGAAGAAGAAGAAAACACTCCCTCCCTCCTCCATGCTCTCTTCATCTAGAGAAACGGTAGCTTTAAAAAGGACCGTTCACCAAACCTTCATTGGCCCCAGCAGTAACCTAAATTCAACATCTCTCTGGCTTGCAAAAGGAAAGAATATAGATTGTCCATGTAGTAATGACAAATCAGATAATCTGGAGACCCATTTTCCAGAACTCAATTATAACTTTAAAATTTACAATTACTGGAATCAAATTAACTAGTTTTGGTGCTTACATATTTGGCGAGAAAAAAATAAAGAAAAACAACACAACCACCAAAGATGACAATCAACAAGGGCAGCTAAAGAATAGATGAATTGGGAGCAGTGATTGCCCAGTAACTTGAGAAAGCAGGCAGTTACGTTACAAAATGCTAAAGCACGGCAGATAGATACACCAAAGCAACAAAATCTTAAGCAAAAGAAAATTAGTGACTCACAATAACTCAATTCTTCTAGGCTGATCCAAATTCTGAGAACCACTTCTCGTGCCGTTCTATGTCTGCAGCAGAAACACTTGGTTGAACTTTGGTCAATGCTTCTAAAAAGTCGCACATGGCAACAGGATCTTTAGAAATCTCATCCTTTGACATGTTCTTGATCTCATCACGTGTCTTCCCCGCTATCTTACGCCTCATGCCATTTAAAGATGCATCCCTACAAACATTTGTTAAATCATCTCCACTGTATCCCTCCGTTCTTCGGGCTACTTCATCAATATCCACATCTGCAGCTACCTGATCCTTATGCATAGACAAAGAGAATCAGTTCACAAGAATATCCATTTAATCTGGAAGTAGAACATCTAGATTTTCCTTAGAATTCCACCAACTCCCTCATTGGAGACAATAGAATATTGATGTGAATGCAGGAAAGAAGTAACACATCAAACATGAAGTGATGTTATAATATGATCTTCTTGTATGTTCTGCATTGCACAAACAAGTAACATCTTCTTATTATGCTCTACAAACATAATCCTATGTGTCATTACCAAAGGAAAGAAATAAGTGATCCAGCTATCAAGTTCAGAAGCCAAATTCTTTTCACTCAGATAAAAGATCTTTTCAGGGTACTCAGAAAAAAAAAATTTTAATTAATTGGAATTTTGAAAAATAAAAAAGTTGAACCTCAAAATTGTCCATGCAATAGCTGAAACTTTAAGTGACTTAACGAGGATTTAACCTCCAATTCTACATCCAAATTAGTAGATGATGAAAGCATTAAATTTACAACTCAACCACAAAGTATCTGCAATTGCTCTGCTCACCTCGATAGATTTCAAATTGATCCTTATAAGCTCCTTACGGCTCTCAAAATTTGGAAGAGGAATATATATACGCTTTTCGAGACGCCTCCTGTATGATATTAACGAAAAGGTATTCATCTCGTCCCCAGATGACTACTATAAACAAATATGAAATGAGTTGAAGGATGATTCAAGAACAAAACCTCAATGCCTCATCTATGTCCCAGGGAAAGTTAGTAGCTGCTAAAACCATGACAATTTTGCGAGTACCATCTTCATTAGTGGAAGAATTGCTCACACCATCTACCTGAACTAGAAGTTCAGACTTGACTCTCCTAGATGACTCATGCTCCCCTGAAGCCCTGAACAAAAACATAGACATGTATAGGTATACTTACATGTATAGTTACCCATCCAAAAAAAAAGCATAATAAGACAAAAATTTAGCATAGATTTCATGTCAGTCAAAAGAAATATCAGTTTTTTCCAGTTCCATCTAAACCAAACAGATACATAGACAGTTTAAAGTACAAAATGGGGAGGTTCACCCACATACATAAAGATAAATGACACTAGATGTGAAAAAGCAACTTCTTTGTGTCTAAGAGAGGATAACAATAGTCATATGCAGCTAGGCAACCAGAAATGCCCAACTTACCTATATCAGAAGACTTCCAAAACACACAATTTCATTTACAACTAACAGATACTGGGAGGAGACTTAAAAGTACAATAAGACACTGAAAATTTGTTAATAGGAAAATAGGCAGAACCTCTCTTCAGGAATTACAGAACCCTTACCCCCGAGCATTGCAAAGCGAATCAATCTCATCAATGAAAATTGTACTAGGAGCATAAGCACGTGCAAGATCAAACAAGCAACGAACCATCCGCTCACTTTCCCCACGCCATTTTGAAGCCAAAGTAGCAGAAGAAACATTGAAAAATGTCGTCCCACACTCAGTAGCAACTGCTTTAGCCAAAAGTGTCTTCCCAGTACCAGGGGGGCCAAACATAAGGACACCCTTCCACGGTCTCCTAATTCCCTGTCAGCAAATACATCTCAAGATTCAACTTTACGCTTTTGTGATTATGAGATGATGCACCTCTATTAAGCCTTAGTGTTCATTTAACAATGGAATTAAGTAAAGAAGCAGCTGCATCTCAAATTCAGGGACAAGGTAAAATTCCAAAAGAATCCAGACAAAGTTATTCTAGACTATACTCTCTCCGGACAACAAGGAAACGATCTATTAGTAATAAAGCACCATCAGACAAGGAACTGACAAGTAATACGGCAAAGGCATTGAACCAAATCTTAAAAGTTCTATGTGTTCACAAAATAAGGTACATCTAGCTTAATTCTATCATACAATGCAAACATCTAAATCAATAGCAATTGGTTTTGTGCCCATCATACCTGGAAATATTCAGGCATCCACAGCGGGAGAACAACTGCTTCCTCTAGAAGCCTTTTTGCTTCACTCAGCCCAGCAACATCATCCCATCTCACTCCAGGACTCGTTTCCAATACATCTCTTTCAAGCATAGCAGCCAAGTCTCCATCAGGTCCCTCGTACTGTATCTTCTTTGGCTTTCCATCTTCAGTATCACCATTCTAATAGTTGAAACATAATCATGAGCAACCCATGGAAACTTTTCCAATTAAAAATAAACACTGATTAACACACGATCAAGGCACACTAGAATCCAAAGGTGAGAATATATTTGGGTTCCAATGTAAAGCTTCCACGTGGGTCATGCAGATTCATATATTAGTTTTGCACTTTGAGAAAATTTTTCTTGCCAAAGGTGAGAATCACTTCAAGTTTTCTCGATTTGACTGGCTAAACCTGTATATTCTCATTTTCTCTTTGGCAAGAAAAATTTCTCAAAATGCAAAACCAAAAGATAACATACATAAGGAACAAAATATAATGTTTATCCACAAAACCTACCACAGATTCAGCCTTTCCGGCCTTCCCAGTGCCAGTGCCTGTGCCTGTGCCTGTGCCTTTCTTCCCTGCAGTTGAGGCTCTAACTCCAGCATTAGACTTACTAGAACCACCAGCCTTACCTCCACGGCCAGTTGTTCCTGCTCTTGTAGAACCACGAGCCCAAGTTCCATCTTGTGGAGACTTCCTTGCTCCTACTTGACCAGCTCTTGCTGGCCTTCTACTTGTGTCTCGACTGGGTGGCCTCCATACATCAGGATCATCCATTGGAGCACCAGACGAAGTTGGATACTCATCCAAGGGCTGAAAGACAAAGGATGATTTAGTTGAAATTGGTGGTGAATTGGGCCGCCTACCAACAGGAACCTCCTTGAAAGACCTCTTTTCTGCATCCAACTGCTTCACAACTTCTGTTTCTTCAGAAATAGCTTTCTTTACATTCATCCACTTGGAACGCGTCATTGGATCATCAACTGTATTTAAGTGCCTAAATATGACATAAGACGTAAGAAAAGCAAGACATTTATAAACAATAGCATTACATTCAACATGACTACCTAGAAAAGCTAAAACTGTTTTTTGTCTTCAATTTTCCTTTCCCTACAGTATTGAAGCTTGAGCAAATCCTAACTGCATTATGACTCTTTCCAACTTTACATTTTTAAGAAAAGTTAGGGAAAGAAAGGGGGGGAAATTTTTCTTTTCCCCTTTTCCTATATCATTTCCTAACATCTTCATTCCTCTATTTCATATATTTTCAGAAATCTCGAGATCGTCACATGCTAGATTAGCACGAAAGGTGCACAAAATCGCATCACATTTCACACCCCAAACTTAAATCCTTCAGAGACAACTTTTCCAAGTTAAAAAAACCCTAGCTCTTTTGCCATTTTTCCTAATCCATTACTGACCGGATCAAAACTCAAAGATCCTACATCCACACCATGCACCAACACCCAATTCACTCTCTCTCAAAGCTATACAAAAACTTCAACTTTCCTACTTCAAAGTTCAAGAAAAGCTTTCCAATGTCCAAACTGTTTCTCAGCTATGCATTTACATAAACAACATAAAACTGGCGAGCATTTTGATACTACAAGCAAAAGTTAGCAGAAGTACTTGTTGATCTGAGCAATGGCGCCATCGAAGAAGATGATTGAAGTATCGTAAAGGCCTTCCTGAGCGTATTCTCTGGCCAATTTCAGATGATCCTGCAACCCGGCCAGTGACGCGCCCACCATTATTTGTCAGCTGAATTTTGCTTACCTCTTACTTCTTGTAGTGCAAAATATCGACTTGTACTATTAAACCTCGGGATTTAGGGTTTTTAAATGTTTGGGTTCTGGTAAGAAATTTGCTGAGAAAAATGGAATTTCAGAAATCAAACGGATAGAGATAGAAATTGAAGCAAAGATGCCGAGGCGGTACAGATATCACAGTCTTTCTCTCTCTAGAAGTTGGGGAGTGTTGGGTAATTTCTCTCTCTAGTTTTGCTCGGGTGGGTTCGAGCAGGGCGGAGAACGACGGCGACGTTTGAACGGTCTGATGACGGGTAAGGAAGGAGATTGTTAGATTTACAATATTATCCTCGGAGCTTGGGACATTTTAATTTTTATTCGATTTCCGTTTGAATTAGGGACGAGTAGATTTGGAGGCACTGTAGCCTGTACCTTTTTGTGCGGTCTGAATTGTTTAATGTGCCTAACATTCACTTTGGAGGCCGCTTTTCTAATTTTTCATATTTTTCGTTTATGCTTTTTGCTCGCGCCCATTTTTTCCTTTGATACTTGAAGTATTTCCAATCTTGCTGTTTATTTCTACTTGAAGCATTTCCAATCTTGCTAACTTGAAGTATTTCTTAATGAAAGTTGCTTGTATGCTATATGCTTACATTGGTATCACGTAAAATCAAGCAAACGTAAATGAATCAAATTAAACCCAAATTTTTAAAGTTTAAGCTCCAATTCATTCTCATCTATAATTTAGTTTACTCGAGATCAATAAAGCCTAACTCGGTGAAATTCAGTGGAGTTTAAGTAAATAATATAAGTTAATATTTTATATTTTTTAAACAAAGGATACAATAGGTATTTTATATTAATACATAAAAAAAATTTAAAAAATTATACATTTAAGACTTGATTATACTTCAAGGTGCTTTAAAACATCACATCACATATATAGGCTCAAGTTCAAATTCATCAAACTATATGAGTTACTTGAGTTTACAATCAAATTTTGACTTAACAAACTTCAACAATAGCTCAATTAATTCTTTGCATTCTCACTCAAGCTCTCAATCAATTCAATGAAAAGATGAATCTTGTATATCACATTATCATTTTGAATGATTTCTTTTTGGGGTTAATTCAAAATTTTACGCCGTAAATCTAATTGTCGGCTTTCTCTCATACACATAGTTTAATATCTTCAATTGGCTTCCTCTAACTTTTTTTTTTAAAAAAGAACTATTTGATAGCTGAAAAATATCTTACTAACTTAAAGAATTAAACAGAAGTAAGGGTGGATCCATGTAAATAAAAAAGGTTAAAGGCACAAAAACTTATACGGAATTAACCTCAAGGGGAAAACTCGAATTTAACCTCTGTACCGTGGGAGCCTGTAAACCCCCTGTTACCTCCCTCAAATGTAATGTACATGTTCCCATCACGGCACGGGAATTGCCGGGTAGCTCAGCGACTTCATTCTTGATAACTGATACCCAATTTGCTTTGCATCAGGCATCAAAGATTTCTTTTTTAATCGAGGGAATTAGGCATCAAAGACTCAAAAGCACATTCCTTTGTTGCTTATCCTTTTCTGAACTACTAATTGTTTCTTCCATTTGCTAATAGTGCATTCTTGAACCTTCCTCCTTTTCAATCAGGTCCAGCCATCACAAGCAACAGCGTCTTAAACAATTTATGGCTAAACGCCACGAACCAGTCGACGGAAATAAATAAATTTTAATGTGTGATGAATGTTTAGCAATGCATAGAGAGACATTAATGGGATAAAGAAAAAAAAAATTCAACTATATGAAAATGTTTGTCCCTAGAGACATGCCGATTCAATCATCATTTAGGCCGACAGAACAACCACCACCAGTGAAAGCTTTAACAGAGTGAATGTTTGTTATTAGAATGCACAAAAATCCGTCCTTTTTCTAACATTGAAATGTGCCAGAGCCAGAATCCATTAGAATCAAGTCATTCTGGGCTTTATAATAATATTCAAGAGAAACTATTCCACCATTCCCTTTTTCACCAGTTCTTCTAACCCTTCTCTTAGTCTTTCTGAAGCAACTCGACAACCATCTGCAGCCAATCCGCCATATGAGATCCTTACATAACCAGGACAGCCGCTGGAACTCCCTGGAATTATAACTATTCTATGTTTCCTTGCTAGCCAGCGAACGACTTCAAAGTCGTCCGGATATTCCTCTGGAAGCTTTGCCCACAAATATATTGCACCTTCTCCACCTCTAACAGCACCCTCTCCTAAGGGTGATAATGCTTCAAGAACAAGTGCTCTGTTCTTGACAAGGTCTTTCACTTGATCAGTGACCCACTCTGGTCCCATTTGCAATGAGAAAAGAGCCAGCTTTTGCGAGATTATGGGTGCGCAGATGGGTATGTTGTCTTGGACTTTGAGAAGTTGATCTTTCAAGTCCTCATCTTCTGAAGGGAAAGCAATCTGGATGGAGCAAAATGTTATTTCAAACATCAAAACTCAATGCAGGCATTCTTGCCTCAGAGACAAGTATGTCTAGTAGCATTTTCACGTTAGCAAATAAACAAGTTGGTGCCATCACTAAGTTCACAAGAATAGTTGCTATGTCATGAAGTAAAAGAAGAAGAAGAAGAGGGATGAAACAAAACAACTTCATTATTATTTCTTTAAACAAACATGGGACAATCTCAGGACGGAGCAGTAAAGCATTACTTACATAGCCAACTCGCCAACCCATCATACCATAAGCCTTGGAGAAGGAAAAGATGTTGACTACATGAGTATCCTCTACACAGACATGTTTATGACCATCATACATAAAGTACCTGCACATTTGACATTTTAACCCCGTGTAAGCTATGCGTACTCAAAAGTAGGATTAGACAGATATTTAATGAAACAAGCAACAGGACAGTGATTTTGTTAGCTCTTTTGTCATGCGTCGTCCTTGTTCTTCCATCAAAACACATTAGCGACAACCTTACCAAAATGCACTACCAATCAAGTCTTGTATGACATATTTTTGTAACAAGCTGCTGAATGGAAGGTCTTCAGTTTATTCCGCCTTCTATAAAGAAATCAAACTTGATTACATCCAGCTGTTGGCCCATGCTACTCTTCTTATTTTCAGTTTAACCCTAAACTTAGATGAGACTGCATCAGTGAGATTGCTCTAACAAGGGTGGTGTCATGTAATGAACAGGTTGACCAAACCTGACTTGGGAGGTCATAGCTTGCATAGGTGATAAAGCTTTGTACCACCTATAGAGGTAGCTTTGTACCACACATTCATTCTTAGGGTCGTCCAGACGAGCAAGAGCCTCGTGCTGAATCAATCGTGACTTTTCACGTGTATCTGGTCCATGCAATGAGTTGATTGACAGATATAAACTTAGTTCCGTATATTAAGGGATCTTGTAATCCAAAGCTAAGTTTACGAAGAATCATCCATCTCAAGTCTGTGTGGTCACTTCAGTAATCTAAGGAGTCAGATTGTCAGACCTTTACCCAATGCTGTAGTAAACCAACTATATTACCAGCTGAGGAGGTCACGCATGAAATAGCTATGAAGAATAGCTTAAACCTTTGCAACATAGACAAGCACCAATGAGATACTGCAGAAGTGACTTATGCAGTACAAAAACAGGCATTAGTAGCATATTTCCATGAAGTGAACAAATGTCCATGAGAGAAAGGATAGACTTCAACACAAGTAATTGCTCATAAAAGTAAACTGAAACTGTACTTACTCGTATGTATTATCCACAACAAGCCAACACCCTGCACTTTTGCAAATGTCCGATATCCTCTGTTGAACATGTCATATGTGAATGTAAGTTGGTTTTCCAGAGGATAAGGGCACGTGTGAATATAAAGAACAGACTGCTACCATCATTAGCCGAACAGCACTTAAACAGATATAGAAGTAGTTTTAGAGAGAGACCTTAAGAAGAGGCTCCGGGATATAGGTTCCAGAGGGGTTGCCGGGATTTACAACAGTAACAAGCTTAGGTGTTGGTTTAGTCTCCAGTAAAGTCTTTTCTAACCAATCTGAAAATCAAGTGAGATTTAAGTGAGACACATTGTTCATCACCCAATATGCTATCCATTGTTTTAGCAAACAGTATTGAACTATGACTGTTGTAAACATGGGGTACTTCTGAATACCTCCATATCAATAGCCACAACTTTTTGTTTAATTTCTAGTGCTGGACAAACTTTATACACATCATTACCCAAGCAAGTTGCACTTGACTAAAATTATTAGGACAAAAACTAAGTTGAGAATACTTGTTAAATGCATGACAAATCCAAGAATAGACTTAAACTTTCTAAGCTTTAAAACGAATACAAAACGAGAATAAATCTGCCTAACAAGCAAACGCTACTTCAGAAGCCAAAACCGAAAAATTTAGGCCCTACTTCAATGACAGCAAAGTTTCAGAACAGTGCATCGAAATCAAGAATAAACATAATGGAACGAATAATGACACGAAACAAGTATTTTGCAGAGTAATCAACCTGCATCTGGATGAAGAGTCTTTGGATCACTGGGACCAACAAGAATGTTAGTAACACCTGTCATCTGGAATGACATGTATGCATTGAAGTAGTACGGTGCAAACATAATTACAGAATCCTCAGCATCACATAATGTCAGAACAACATTGACAAATGCCTGCAATCAGTGTAGACAGAAGCTTAAATGAAGATTATTTTGAGTTTAAGGGCAAAACATTACTGATCAAAAGTCTGAAACTTTGTGAAACAAAGTTCAATCTTTGCATTCTGCCCACATACATTTTTAGGAACCTCCAAATCTTTACCAGCTTCCCTACTTTATCTCTGCTTACTTGGTTGCATCTAAGGCTAGCCTTTTTAAGATCTGACTTGGCTTAAATAGCTTAGAAAGCCTGAGATATTTCTATACATGAGTTGCTGGCTCTTCGAAAAACTATTTTCCCATGCATGAAAATGTACAATATACATGGCCAAGGGATGGGGATGAGTTCAAATTGGTTTAATAACTTCACCAAAACAAAAAGAGAGACAGAACAGAGTAAAATGAAGATAGCAGGCACAAATAACAAAAGAGAGATGCCATGAGATGATTATAATCACAAGAAACCAAGAGAACCTAAAGAGTTAGAACTTGTGTTCTTTATTGTGAACTACAATGCAGCTTGATACCTGATTTGCACCAGCAGTCACCATTACAGAGGATTTGTGCAGCTTATTTTCTTGGCGCATCTGAAGAGACAAATTGAAAAGAATTAATTTGAAAGGATTGGCTAACTTTCTGAATAATAAGTAGCTTTCAGTAGGTTAGTAGCAACTAAAAATTGTTCATTATATCTAAAAAGCCAAATAGCAAAGAACAT